ACTTGGTTTTGGCTGGGTGCAGTGGCTCACGCCTGTAATCCCAACACTTTGGGAGGCTGAGGTGGGGAGTTCGAGACCAGCTTGACCAACATGGTGAAACCCCATCTCTACCAAAAATACAAAAATTAGCCAGGTGTGGTGGTGCACACCTGTAATCCCAGCTACTCGGGAGGCTGTGGCAGAAGAATCACTTGAACCTGGGAGACGGAGTTTGCAGTGAGCCATGTGCCGCTGCACTCCAGCCTAGGCAACAGAACAAGACTCCATCTCAATAAAACAAAACAAAACAAAACAAAACAACTTGGTTTCACTGGGCATGGTGGCTCACACCTGTAGTCCTAGCTACTTGGGAGGCTGAGGTGGGTGAATCACTTGAACCCAGGCATTTGAGACCAGCCTGGGCAGCATAGTGATCCCCAGTCTTAGAAAAATATAAATAATTATTAATTTCCATTTTAAAGATCTGGCAGTCCTATCCCCCTGTCACCATGTGCACCCTTCCCTATTGAGTCCTGACCCTGAGACTAAGGATCAAGTCCCAAATAGGACAGTGCTTGCCCTGTGTTCCTCTTGTATCAGAGTTAGGAGTAACCCATCAAAAGTGGGAAAACAAAAGGTGGACTAAGAAGGTTGTATGTTTCAGGAAAAATGGGAGCAAGCCCATTCCTTTATGGCGGTGAAGAATATAGTACACCGACTGCTTCCCTCATTTCCGTGGCCTGCCTGGTCCCTTAAGGCCTTTTCGAAGGTGTGGCCCACCTGGGCCTGCCTGTATCCTCAGCTGGGGACAGGTGTTAGAGTGAAACCCTGCCTTTGACACAGGCACTGGGTGGTTAGGAAAGAGCCCGTTTATATAACCGTGGTGGAGAGCACGGGCCTCCCGCCTACCATTGCATTTGGTGATGAGCTGGTCCTTCTTGCTGGACTCCTGTAGGACTTTGCTTTTGACACTGGAGAGCCTGGGTGGGGAAGATGGGAGGGTGGGCAGGCTAGCAAGCAGATGCGTCCCCCAAAACCCACACCCCCTACTGAGGCCCACTCACGCTTTTTCAAAGGCCAGCTTCTCTTTCTCCAGCTGTTTGGACAGCACCTCTACCTCTCCGAGGGCAAACTGTAACTTCTCCTCTTCCTTGGCCAGGAGGACCTTGGTCTTGGCATGGGCAGCTTTCTCTTCCTGCAGGGGCGGCAGCAGTCCCTTCATTACCCTGGGCCGCCTTGGGTCTCCTAGACTCCCTTAACCAGCCCCGCTTCTCAGACAGACACATAGACACCAGGGCACAGGAAGATTCTGGCCACCTTGCTACTAGGGCTGGAGGTTCTCAGAGGCCGACCTTTCTTTTTACTTTTTTTTTTTTTTTTAAGACAGATTCTCACTCTGTTGCGCAGGCTGGAGTGCAGTGGCATGATCAACTCACTGCAACCTCCGCCTCCCAGGTTCAAGTGACTCTTCTGCCTCAGCCTCCCGAGTAGCTGGGATTACAGGCACCCGCCATCATGCCTGGCTAATTTTTGTATTTTTAGTAGAGATGGGGTTTCTCCATGTTGGTCAGGCTGGTCTCGAACTCCCAACCTCAGGTGATCCACCCTCCTCGGGCTCCCAAAGTGCTGGGATTACAGGAGTGTGCCACTGCGCCTGGCCAACTTTTTAATTTTATTGTCAGAGATGGGGTCTTGCTATATCACTCAGGCTGGTCTCAAGCTCCTGGCCTCAAGTGATCCTCCCACCTCAGCCTCCGGAGGTAGCTGGAATGCAGGTGCACATAACTGTGCCTGGCTTGGGTTGCTGACTTCGACACTTGGATGGGTGGAAGTGCTAGTGATGGAAATGGGAGCACTGGAAGTCTTGCTTCCATTCTCCTTTACTAAATAAAAATCTATTCATCTCTGTAGGAAGGGTGATTATATTTCACATCTCTCTTCCTCAGAGTTGCTTTCACTGACCCCTCAGACTGGGTTAATTTCCTTTGTTATAGAGTCTGTGGTCCCCTTGGTCTCCCTTTAGCTATTCATTGCACTGGGGAGCGCTGTGGAAAGCCTGGCCTTCCCATTAGATATGAGCTCCAGGAGTCTTGGTGCTGGGCCTCACCTGTTCCCTGACCCCCATCCCAAAAACCCAGCCCATCTGGCTCAGAATAAGTTCTCAATCATTGCTGAATTAAATCTCATCTCGCTTTCTTTTTCAAATGAAAGCTATCATTACCAGTTAGGATCATGTAAATATCATTTACTATATTTTTAAACCAAAACTTTCCTAAATATGGGCCACTAGGAACAAAGCCAGCAAGGAACTGGGATAACACCTGAATTTCTGATGCTAAGTGTAGTTTTGATCTGTATATTGGCTGTGATGTACTGCAACTGCTGTTATCTGATAGAAAATGTGGAACTGATGCCAACAATGCTATCTTCTATTCTAAATGCAAATAATCCCACTGATGGGTGAGGGAAGACTGGAGCAGGCATCAAAAGCTTCTTTAGTCGGAAGTGGCTCCAAGGGAGTCAGGCGATGCGCAGTGCCCAAGGACGCCATGGGCAAAGGTAAAAGAACCAAGGAAAAGTAGCCATTCTTTTTATATAAAATTGTTTAATGTTTTTGTTAAAATACATTTAATCCAGATATAGTGGATGAGGTGGCTAGATTTTTTCAAGATTCTTAGTCCACCAGGAGCTGATTCCATTTGTGTCATCCCTACTCTGGTCACAGAACATTCACATCTTCAATTCCAAATACTGAGCATGATGTAAATGATGTAATCAGTATCTAACACATGAGTATATACTTTCTTGGTGGTCACTGCATGCCATATCAACAGTGCAGCCTCAAAAAAAAGATGTTTTGTAACTTGGCCCTTTCCAAAAATAAATATATTAGGGCACTAAGCTCACACCTTAAATGAGGGCAGAATAAATAGGAATGAAGTGCAAGCTCCTGTGAGGAGCACTGCATGCAGATGAGGCACTTGCTTGTGTGGTGTGGCCAGCTGTAACAGAAAGTCACTGGAACCGCACAGTGCCTCCTCACAAAGCCCGTCCTGAGTATAAGGAGGAAAAAGAATGACACATAGTTTGACCAGGCTGCTAGAACCCATGTTCCAGTGGCATCTGAAGTTCACTGCATTTTCTTTTTTTTTTTTGAAACAGAGTCTCACTCTGTCACCCAGGCTGGAGTGCACTGCTGCAATCTCGGCTCACTGCAACCTCCGCCTCCCAGGCTCAAGCGATTCTCCTGCCTCAGCTTCCCGAGGAGCTGGGATTACAGACACCTGCTACCATGCCCGGCTAATTTTTGCATTTTTAGTAGAGACGGGGTTTCACCATGTTGGCCAGGCTGGTCTTGAACTCCTGACCTCAAACCATCTGCCTGCCTCAGCCTTTCAAAGTGTTGGGATTACAGGCATAAGCCACTGTGCCCGGCCAGTTCACTGTATTTTCCAGCAGTTTCCAACAGAAAGCACAGCAGTGGCATTTCCTTACTGGTCACTGCTCCTGTGCTGTAAGGCCTGCGCTGATCAAGGAAGCTTACACTTCTCCTAGCTTGCGCAGATGAACTCTAGGGTTGCTAATCTGGGGACGTGGATTCCTTCAAGCTCTTAGTGATAAGAAGGATTTTCATCCTCCTTTCCTCACTGTCGATCATGCAGTAGAGAGAGCACCTTCATTTGAATGACAGCTTCAGTTTCTGCTTGAGCCTCAAGCCCTATTTCTGAGCCCTGCTCCTATCACACACGTCTCCAATCTGCAGTAATACTCAAAGAAACAGTCTAGAGCTGGGTGCCAAGCTCCAACAGCAAGAATAAGCCCTACCTAGTTATGTATGATCAGGAGATCTTCCAAAGGATGTAGGCAAGAGGAAAAAGCTTATTTTACCACCATGCAGACAACCCATCTAAAATATAACCCAGGAAATTATAGTTTAACAATATTCTGGATAGTATCAAATAGATAAATCCTTCAACCAAAAGCAAATATGGTTCCCTTGAGGAAAAACAGATGTGAATGTTGTGGTCTATTGGTAATAAATAAAACAGTATCATCAGTGCTATAAAAACAGACAATCAGCATGACATTTAATGGAGTTAGTTACTATTGCCTCTATTTAGTATCATCACAGATTACTCATCGCTGCCATGAAGTCCATAAAATGTGTGACTATCCAATTCCTGGCCATCGAGGACAGGGTCTTTTAATCTGTCAAGTCAGTTTCATTATGGCAAATTTTCTAGCAGAGGTTAGGGATGGGGAGAGGAGAGCTTTGATTTTTTTGTGTATATAAGAACTTTCCATAAGCCTGTTTAGCTCATGGACACATTTTACAATGTAACCTCCCTCAGTCACTCAGAGGGGATCAAGAAGGGGCCCCCAAAACCAGGACAGACCTAGTTGGGTAGCAAAATCTGGCTATTTCTAGAAATGCTCCCTCTCCCTACAACTGAGCAGTTGTCCCCTACAAGCCACTAAAGCCCCCAATCTTTACCTGTGAACCCATCTCCTGACCCTGTGCAATGCCTGCAGAGGCATGGTAGGGAACAACCGTTCAGATGTTGGTGAGCCATGCTAGGCACGTCTGTGTAAATCATGGCCATGCATTGGGATGAAGAGACTTTACTTTGGAATCTGTTCTAATGTAGATGCTCTCTTTTTTTTTTTTTTTTTTCTTTTTTTGATACAGTCTCACTCTGTTGCCCAGGCTGGAGTGCAATGCCGTGGTCTCAGCTAACTGTAATCTCCGCCTCGCAGGTTGCAGCGATTCTCATCAGAGAATGAGTAGCTGGGACTACAGGTGTATGCCACCACGCCTGGCTAATTTTTGTATTATTAGTAGAGACGGAGTTTCACCGTGTTGACCAGGCTGGTCTTGAACCCCTGACCTCAGGTGATTCACCTGCCACAGCCTCCCAAAGTGCTGGGATTACAGGCATGAGCCACTGCACCCGGCCGACTCTCTAACAGAAACTTTTCTTCCAATATGAAGGAAGCATGGAGTGTAGGCTACAGTCACTTAATGATCCTTCCAAGTTCAGAGTCATGATAATCCAGGCAGCTCAGCTCTACAGGAAGGCCCAGAACCACACAGCCCAGGCAGTGACTGAATTCTTTCTTGTCACCAGTGGGAGGGTTCCTTGCCTGTGATGGACCTCTTATTTTGTGTACAGAATTTATGTTAGACAGGGTCCTGCTCCTTAAAGAGCATCAGGGACGTCCTGAATGGATTCAGGATTACCATAGAAAGGACGAGGTGTCATGGGGTTGGGGAGGACAGAGGCATCCTCGGGAAAGGTTCTGCTTTACCAGTCTGGCTAGAATCACCTGAGACATGAGGATGCTCTCTCCCACTTTCTACTTGACACTCAGCCTGCTGTCTCACTCTGCCACTATCAGCTGTATGACCTGTGTCATCCTCTCTGGGCCAATGTTCTCATTCATAGAACCAGGGATAATACATCTACTTCAGAGTTGTGAGGAGGCTTAAGAAAATATGTGTGAGAGCCCCTGCTTTTATAGTAGGCACTCAATAAATGGAAAAAGCATCTCAAATCACAAACTATAGGATACCGGGTTAAACAAAGTGGCTACTGGGGCCAGTGCTAGACCCCCATATCCAGGGAGAGAGGATCTGTCCCCTGTATCTCTAGGCTTGAGCAAACAGCCTGGAGAAATGGCAATGCCTCCTCCTGGGTCTGACCATCTGCCTCTGTGGGATATAGGAACTCAGCCCAAGTGCGATGACACCAATGATGACACTGAGGAGAAATGACCGAAGGGACATTCTCTGGGTTCTATGATGGACTAGGGAGGCTTCATGGAGGAGATGAGGCTCGGTCTTGCTTTATACCTTCACCCTGGCCCCTGCCTCCGGATGCTGCTCAGTAGTTTTAATTTCTGGACCCTCTGAAAGAGAGAGGGTTAAGGAAATAAAGGAAACTCAAATCAGGCAGTTTGCTAATGCTACTGAGCAGAGATTGGAATAATAGAAAACTATTGACTACAATAGTTTAAATTTCTCCATATTCCCCTAGAAAATGGAAAGCTGGGCAGGAACATGTTCCAAAGGCTAAATCTTGGCAGAGATGATGACTTTAATGAAGGGAGAGGTATAATTCTTGGTAGACAGTGTAAATAACTAATATTAAGCTTTGGCTAAGCCTAGGAATGCCTGGGTCTTAAGACTTCACTGAAGAAGGGAAGAAGGAAGAAAACATGGATCTGCTCTGGGATGCCCTGAACTCTATTCACAGAGGCAGGGTAGGCATGGAGCAGGGAAACAGAATCCAATGCTTTGCCATTAATTTAACTTAGATGAACTCCTCCTGGGACCTGGAGTCACTCCCCAGGAAGGATTCTGTGAGGACACGTCTGGCTCTCGTGCCCATGCTCCTGCCACTCTGCCCAACCAACGAACTTAGCAAATAGTAAAGTGTTCACCATTACCTAATTTTGTATTATAAAATGGAATCAGGAACATAAATAGGAACAAGTAGCAAAACCCCAGCCCTGCATAGGACCATTATCCTCTCAGCCACCTCTGCGTAGGCCAATGAGTTTGGAAAGTTTCTCACAGTTTTCAAGTTTCAGCGACTCTGCTTTCTGTTTCAATCGTTCATCTCTGTATAATCCTGCCAAATTTGTCAGCTCTGACTCTGAAAGATAAAAGAGGTAACCAATTCATCAAGAGTTGAGCTCCTTTGTTTCATTTCAACATTTCTGGAGTCAAAGCTCCTTTTACTTCATTTCAAGCTTTTTCTTTCAATTAAATGTAAGAAACATTTACTCATTTATTCACAAAACACATCTGAGGCACTAGACCAGGTGTGGAGGATTAAAGGGCACCTGTGACCCTGCAGTCCAACAGTATCTGTGCTGTCTTATAAAAGCACTGAACTTAGTTCTTACCAAGAAAACATTTGGCACCAGACTTAGGAAACCTGCGCGTGTGCAGTAAGACCGCGCCACAGCCTCCTACAAGTGGGATTCCGACGGCAGCTGGGAGAGAATGGAGTCCAGTGGCCTATTCCTGTCATCTGAAACAGACAGCTGCTCTATTCTTCTCCTGCATTGCTGCATCATAACTCACATGTGCGAAGGCACACAGAGCCTACTGCTGCCAGGTGTGTGTCTACACAAGGCCAGGGCGCTACTGGCATTCTTCATTTCCTCACCACATGTGGGGTCCCCAACTCAAAGGCCAAAGGCAGCTGGGCCTTTTTAAAAGTTGAATCATCTGGATCTGGTGACCTTTGTCTCCTTGACTAAAGGAATTTCATTTTCTCTTCATGGTGGAGAAGGTCATTCTATTTTTAACCAGAATATAATCTCTATGTTTCCTGACTCAACAGTGGTTTGGCTGCCTCTATTTTTTATTCTTTTGTGAGGTTTCAGGCATACTCAGGGAGGAATGCCTGAAAAGCACCTTTAGAGACGTATTGCATGTTAACAGGATGGCATGCTTGGATGTGGTGTGTGGCTTCTGAAAGCCTCTGACAGCAGGCAGCTACTCAATATTTAAAGGACCAGACTTGTAAAAATGCTATTTTAATTGTTTTGAAATCTGCCTATCCATTCTTAATCGTCTTGCTGACAGATTTTGTTTTTCTTGGTGGAACGAAAGACACCTGTCTGATTAATCAGCAAACTGCCTGGAAACAGGAATTATTATTTAGCCAGGGGGAACAATGGGCATTGCTTTCTGAATACGTTTCTATCAACACAAAACACTGTCTGGCATTTCTGCTCACAATGATGCTATTTACCCCCAAGTAAGGCCCAAAGTGCAGATTAAGTGCAGGACTCCAGGGTGAGGGGTGGATATGCATAAAAACCCTCCCTCTACAATGGAGGCCGAACAGCCTGGGCTCTAGCCCAGCAGTTGCTTGGCAAGCAGTGGGTCTCCCAGGCTCCAGAACAATGTGCTCTCCCTGCTCGGTGAGGGTGCCTGCAGTGCCTGCTAGCCAGGGCTTGTCTTGGCACAGTCACCCTTGCAGGTGATGGGGCTTCATGGAGGATCATGGGCCGTTTCCAAATGAAAGCTCTCTGCTCCTGCATCCTGCCCAGGGCTCGCCACTAACTCCAATCTCAGGCTTCCTTGGCCTGTGGGTAACCTCTGCCCAGGAGGCCTCTGTGAAGTCAGTCTGTGCCTTTAGTCCTCTGGAGTCACAGTTACACCAGTATTGAAACAGATTCTGTGGTTTTGCTTTTCTTTGAAATTATTTCCTTAGGTTTTTCATTTGCTCAGCTTTTCTAAATGCCTCATTCCCTGAAATCTTGTTCCAGGAAACATTAAGGGCTAGTGACTCTTTATATTTTCTACATTGAAGGCCACTTCAACAAGCTGATGAAAGATAACTGCTTTTCTCAAAATATCACATTACTTTTCATAAAGCTCACTGAAACCAGCTCAGAGACCCCTGCTCCACAGCAAGGACCTTGTACAAGGTTAGTGTTTCAAGGAACCGTGTCCCACATCCCCACTACCAAGCTCAGAGCAACTTCTCTCTAAATTGCCAGTGAATCCTTTCATCCTTCAATGAACAAAGGGTCAACTTCAAGAATATGCTGCTTTTGACAAATTCTGTTAATATTCAATAACTTCTAAGCAATGTAAAAAAATTTTGGGGAATGGCAGGTTCCAGAGAATACCTTTTCTTCTTAGCAGAAAGTTCCCCTTCCTCTGAATGTCACTGTAACAGATGGACAGAGCATTGAGCCTTAAAGATAAACTGACTCAGGCAAATTGCCAAGAGAAGCAAGACCCAGAACCTCTCCCAAGAACATGCTGCAAAAGAGCCCAGATTGGTCTCGACAGCTGAAAGACTGCAACGGATCCCGGCTGCCCTCATGATCCAGCCCCATGAGATGGTACTGCATCCACTCTACAGTGCAAAGCCAGGTAAAGCCAGGACTCCACCAGACATTAGGCACTTTCTATGTGCCAGACACTGTGCTAAGAGTTACACCCATGCCATCTTCCATCACCCACATAACCTTTCCCGGAGGAAGTGGACTCTATGCCCATTTCAAAGCCTAAGCTTCTACCCACTAGGTTATCCCGCTCAAGGGTGTGGAAAGAAGTGCTCCTCTGTCAGTCCAGGCCAGGAGCTCAGCTCAGCTCGGCTAGGCCAAGAGGCAGTTCCTGCCTGCTACTTTCGTTCAGCCTAGCCTCGTAGTGTGGCCACTTGCTCTGGCATCAGGTTTACTATCTAGATGCAGCTGCGAATAAGTAAACAGGACAATTAGTGTTTATAGTAAGGGATTGCTCATAAAAGTTTACCCAGATTGGCAGGGTGTGGTGGCTGACGCCTGTGATCCCAGCACTTTGGGAGGCCGAGGTGGGTGGATTACTTGAGGTCAGGAGTTCGAGACCAGCCTGACCAACACGGTGAAACCCCCTGTGATCCCAGCACTTTGGGAGGCCGAGGTGGGCGGATTACTTGAGGTCAGGAGTTTGAGACCAGCCTGACCAACATGGTGAAACCCCATCTCTACTAAAAACTAAAAAAATTAGCCAGGCATGGTGGCATGTGCCTGTAGTCCCAGCTACTCGGGAGGCTGAGGCAGGAGAATTGCTTGAACCCGGGAGGTGGAGGTTGCAATGAGCCGAGATTGCACCACTATACTCCAGCCTGGGTGACAGAGCGAGACTGTCTCAAAAAAAAAAAAAAAGTTTACCCAGATTAAGCATTCTAAGGAAGAGCAGAGAAAATAAATGAACCAAAGATTTAAAAAGTCAATGGCTAACCTTGCTAAAAACAGTTTGCATTTGGTATTTTGCCAAGAGTGAACTTTGTTCTCAAGTGGGTTTATTTTTACAACCTCCAAGTGCTAAATTTAACCTTGTTGGCTGCACTTGCTGCTGGATTCAGAGGGCAGATGCTGCTTGTTCTCAAATGGCACTTGGGTTGTGTGCAGGCTCTGCATAGCCACTGTACTTAAATGCCAGAAATAGATTTGTAAGGGGTTTGTGCTGATAACCCCCATTTGGAACTTGTGGGTACACGCTTCATGCTTACTCACTGGATTTTTTTTTTTTTTTTTTTTTGAGATGGAGTCTCGCTCTGTCACCCAGGCTGAAGTGCAGTGGCATGATCTTGGCTCACTGCAACCTCTGCCTCCTGGGTTCAAGTGATTCTCTTGCCTCAGCCTCCCGAATAGCTGGAATTACAGGCACGCGCCACCACTCCCAGCTAATTTTTGTATTTTCAGTAGAGACGGGGTTTCACCATGTGGCTAGGCTGGTCTCAAACTCCTGACCTCAGGTGATCCACCCTCCTTGGCCTCCCAAAGTGCTGGGATTACAGGCATGAGCCATGGTACCTGGCCACTCACTGGATTTTTATTTATACCTGGAGAGTGCTGAAGCTCTGAACTAGGCCTCGTGGGGATGGGGACAAAAGCTTAGAAACTACCTCTGGTGCAATCCTTACCATGAGCTCTTTGCATAATTCCAGCATCTTACTGCCATAGAGAAAGATGTGGGGCAGGGGGTGTCTGAAGAATGTGAAATGCAGATTTTCATCCAGTTCTTGCAGAAAGCAACAAAGTCAAAGCCCTCCCAGGACCCAGACAATAGGGACTTTCAGGACATATACTGGCTTTCACCTGATTTGGATCCATGTATATACTGCCTTTTTATTGAGACAGGATCTCGCTCTGTAGCCCAGGCTGGAGTGCAGTGGAGTGATCACAGCTCACTGTAGCCTCGATCTCCCAGGCTTGACCTCCTGAGTAGCTGGAACCACAGGCATGTGCTGCCACACCTGGCTTATTCTTATACTTTTTGTAGAGATGGGGTTCCCAGGCTGGTCTCAAACTCCTAGACTCAAGTGATCCTCCTGCCTCAGCCTCCCAAAGTGCCAGGACTATAGGCATAAGCTACCATGCCTGGCCTATATACTGCCTTTTAGTATGAGGCCTTTCTCCTGCTCCAAAATTCTTTCCTGATTTTTGATTCTTGTAAAATCTAGTTTAGCAATGGGGTAGAGTATTTCCTGAACCCTCAGTGTTTTTCAATAAAAATGGAATTTCCTCTTCCTATTTAATTTCCTCTTATATCCCAGAGTCACTGCTCACCAACTTCCTAATGCACTTTGAGAGAACAGTGGGACTTTGCCTTACAGAAATAGGGGGCAGAGACCAGGTCCCTAAGGGTGAGTTAGGACACTAACCCTGCTGTTGTTATTCACAATCTTCAGCATTTTCATTGTTTTCTACTCCTGAGAATCCTCTCTTCAAAAGACATTTGTTGAGCACCTGTTCTGAAACAAGCACTGTGCCAGGGCCCTGAGACACAAAATTAGTAAGACCAAGTTCTTATTCCCAGAGAGCCCATAGTCTTGCAGGGGAGACTGACATATATCTCTGGAACTCTAACACTGTGTGATTGGTACTATGTTAGCAGGTTGAACAAAGTGCTTTAAGAACACAGAGGAAGGAGAGTTTAACTTGAGGGCGGAGTTGGGAGTGTGTGATGGTCACTGAGGGCTTAGCAGCACTGTGACCGACGAGCTAATTTTATCAGACTCCATTAGATATTTAATGATACTCAGTAATAAGGTTTTAGAAATGAGTCAGAATTTGCTTTTTAAACATGAGCCAAAACTTCAGTTAAAAGGGTAGCCCCTGAAAAATAAAAAAGAAAATAAAAATAACCAAAACCAAGTTTGAGAAGACACAGTCACTAATGCAGTGTGTGTGTAGAATTCAAGTGGGACCAAAGGTGAAGCTGTTGGCTGAGACCAGGCTGCCCCTTCTGCAGACACTCCTTAGTAATACTTGCTGGAGCTGTAAGCCAGTGGCAGACGCTGTCATTCCCACTGTCTCCAGAAAGGGAAATAGGGGGGAAGGCCTGCCACACCCAAAGGGGCAGACCCAGGGGGTCACTTTTGTTCTGTGTGGCCACAACCAGCTGGAGGTGAGGGTAGGGGACACCTCATTGAATACCAGAAACCTCTAAACCTTTGTTCTGGTTCAAAAAGTAAGGCTGGCTCAATCAGATTTCCCTCTACAGAGTGTGGAATTGGGAAACTGTGGACCAAATCAGCGAGCACCAAGAACTTAACGGAGGTGTGTGCTGCAGAAAGGGGCACTGACTGGTGAGGCTGGGGAATTTGAGAGAGTGATAAGGAGGGTGGCAACTACTGTAAACCATGGCAAACAAGGTTATGAAAAAGGGAAACTGGAAGAAAGAAAGGAAGGCAGCTGGTGGGGAGAAGAGAGGGGGCAGATGGGCAGAGAGGTAGAGACCCAAAGAGAGACGGGCATATAGACAGGTGACTAGCGCCACCTAAATTCCTGATTGCCAAGTCCTGGCCACATGTATCCTGTCAATAAATTTCCCCCACTTTTTTGTAGTATCCTGAATGGCCTTTGTCCTCTGACTCTGTTCACCTAAACATGTGTAGCCCCAAACAAGAAGAGAGGAGGGATCAGGAGGCTGGGGGTGCCTCCTGTCAGGAACCACGGCCACCGGCTAATGCCCCTTTTACAGCATCTTACTTTGTTGTTTCTCCTTCCAACAACTAGTCTGGATATAATCAATGTAATCCTTCTCTATTGTCTTCTCCAGGTCATGCAGAGAAGCTCCTCTGTAGGCCTTGTCAAAGTTTTTATCCACAAAGTAAGGCACCTGCAGGTTCTGAGTTTCTCTAGAAATGGTGTAGCCCAAGGTCCTGAAACAAGGAGAAAGAGGCTCATGTGAGCTCATAATATTTGGCAATATTACTCTTAGCACTGACCTCACAGATATCATCACCATCATCTGCTCACAGAGCAGAGGTAGATATCATTTTCTAATGTACCCAACACTTCTTATATCCTTAGCAAAATTATACGTATAACATCATCATAATTGTATTATGTAAGCACGTTCATACCATGAATTCAGCTTCAGCATAGTTTATTCTCTTAAAAGACTCACCTCTCTTTTACTGCTCTCTGTGCTAAAAGAGAATGCTGAATGCTTAAAACAAACAATTTTTATGTTGTGTAGGATCTAGTATGGTACCTGACAGAGTAGGTTATTATAAATGCTGGTTGAATGAACTGATTACGTTATATAGCAAATTAAAAAACAGATAGCTCACACCAACCTAGAAGCAATATTTTGGACATGATAAAAAGTACTTCGCACATAGCTGCTAACTGAGAAATGCAAGAAACTCAGACAAAATATTTCAATGATGCTTCAGAGCTAACTCTCTGTGGGTCCAAGGCATCCAATGGTATCTGGTGCTCAGCAACATTAAGAGTACTGAGCTGACTAAATTCTAACCGTAAGGAAATACAGAAGGGACCTCAAACTCAAGTTAAAACAATGTGACAGAAATGTGTAGAATCCAAGATGGTTTTCTTCAAACTGGACAAATTCTACTTAAAGGGGCTACATTTTATTTGGCCTTTTCCCGGCCCTCTCCTTAGATCCTCTCTAATTAGAGTAAGAGCCGAGGCCATGACTGCTCTCCCCTCACTCTAAGGGGTTGGGGGATCTTACAGAGCAGGTCCGTGCTTACCCCGCGGGCCTCACAAGAAAGAAAGCTGAAGTGCCATATGGAAAAACATGAGAAGCTGGGAAACAGAGGAAATCAGTGTGACCTGATGGCAAAAACCTCTCTCTGAAGGCTGGGCGCAGTGGCTCATGACTGTAATCCCAGCACTTTGGGAGGCCAAGACAGGTGGACATCAGGTGTTTGAGACCAGCCCAGCCAACATGGTGAAACCCAGTCTCTACTAAAAAATACAAAAATTAGCCAGGTGTGGTGGCACATGCTTATAATCCCAGTTACTCAGGAGGCTGAAGCATGAGAATCACTTGAACCCGGAGGAAGGAGATTACAGTGAGCCAAGATTGCACCACTGTACTTCAGCCCGGAAGCCTGGGCGACAGAGCAAGACTGCCTCAAAAATAAAAACAACAACAAAAAACCTCTCTTTCAGCCTCAGCTTCGCTCTCTGTAAAAGGAAAATACTAGCTGGGCCCAACAGCTCATGCCTGTAATCCCAGCACTTTGGGAGGCCGAGGTGGGTGGATCACCTGAGGTTAGGAGTTCGAGACTAGCCTGGCCAACATAGTGAAACCCTGTCTCTACTAAAATATAAAAATTAGCCGGTGTGGTGGTGTGTGCCGCCTGTAATCCCAGCTACTCAGGAGGTTGAGGCACAAGAATTGCTTGACGGGGAGATGGAGGTTGAAGCGAGCCCAGATTGCACCATGGCACTCCAGCCCAGGTGACAGAGCGAGACTCTGTCTCAAAAAAACAAAAACAAACAAAAAAGGAAAATACTGACCTGGATTGACCTGGAATGATGGTCTTCAGTCTACAGTGATCACTGACAAAGACTCTTCCTGTTATGTATTGTCTAATAAATTCTACTTTTAAAAGATTTTTTCCCACTAAACTATAATCATGAACAATAATTTATTATTCATTACTAACAGAAAAGATAATCTAGTGATTCTCAAACCTCAGTGTGGACCAGGATAATCTGGAGGGTTTGCTAAAACTCAGGCTTCTGGTCCTACCCCCAGAGCCTCTAATTCAATGGATTTGGAGGGGCCCTAGAATCTGCCTTTCTAACATGTTGCCTGTTGATACTGATGATGGCTGGTCTGGGGACCAAACTTTGGAAACTGAATCAACTGAAATAATTAATTGAAGAAATTTTTTAAAATCCTATCAGAGTTTATAATCTGTATGCAAAAAGCATTACAAGGAATTTCTCTATCTTCAACAAAAACAAAAAAATTGAAAATAATCACTTGATCTCCATTATTAATACTATGCTCCGAGACCCACAAGGTCCAGCAATCCTATCAACAGCTCAACAGAGTCTTTCTAACTCTACCATGGTGTGATAATGTGTTCATCTAAACCTTAAATTCTACTGATCCTTCAAAAACCAGTTACTGCTGTTCTGCAGCTGACCAGATGATGTCACTATAGAACAAAACAATCTATTTCCTGAGGCACACAGGAGACTGCTTCAGTATTTTTAAGTCTCAGCACCATGACTACCCAGCTGTTCCTTTAAACATCAAATTGGTGTTTTCTACAGCAAAAGGTGAAATGAAATGTTAGTAATGTATCAGCAAAACCTTCAAGTCTTTCACCCCCAGACTGTTACTGAAAAAGATTGAGAAATATCAGACTTACGATTTATAGAACAGACTATATGGGGGATTAGTAGCCAGCAGCTGAGTAATGACAGATATAATCACAATCACAAGAACTGGAAGTAGCTGAATAAATGCAGAATATGTAGTCTGAAAAAGAAAAAAAAAAACTTGCTGTAAGTGCTTTTTTTTTTTTTTTTTTCTCTGTCGCCCAGGCTAGAGTGCAGTGGTGCGATCTCGGCTCACTGCAAGCTCTGCCTTTCGGGTTCACGCCATTCTCCTGCCTCAGCCTCCCGAGTAGCTGGGACTACAGGCGCCCGCCACCACGCCCGGCTAATTTTTTTTGTATTTTTAGTAGAGACGGGGTTTCACCGCAGCCAGGATAGTCTCAATCTCCTGACCTCGTGATCCACCCACCTCGGCCTCCCAAAGTGCTGGGATTACAGGTGTGAGCTACTGCGCCTGGCCTGTAAGTGTTCTTTATCAATATAAAGCTTATTGAAAATAAGACAGTTGTCCCAAAGAAAATAACAAATTACCAATGCACTGCATAGGAGGATCCACAAAGCCCCAGGCTTTTCTGGGAAGGTTGTACTTTCAGCTGAGAAGTACAGGTTGGGCAGTCCTAATCAGAAAATTCAAAATCAAAAATGCTCCAAAATCTAAAACTTTTTGCATACCAGGATGACACTCAAAAGGAAATGCTCATTGGAGCATTTTGGATTTCAATTTTTTTTTTTTTTTTTTGAGACATGGTCTTGCTCTGTCACCCAGGCTAGAGTATAGTGACACAAACATGGCTCACTGCAGCCTTGACCTCCTGGGTTCTGATGATTCTCTCACCTCAGCCTCCTGAGAAGCTGGGACCACAGGTGTACACTACCGTGTGCAGTTAATTTTAAAATTTTTGTAGAGACAAGATCTTGCCATGTTGCCCAGCTAGTCTCGAACTCCTAGGCTCAAGCAATCCTCCTGCCTCAGTCTCCCAAAGTGTTAGGATTACAAGTGTGAGCCACTGCACCCAGCCTCAGATTTTCAGATTAGGAATTGTCAAATGTATAATTGTATAATGCAAATATTCCAAAATCCAAAAAAAAAAAAAATCTGAAATCTGAAATACTACTTGTCTCATATACTTCAGATAAGGGATACTCAATCTGTACCAAATAACCTTTATTCTCTCTGCTGAGCAGGCTGAAGGAGGCCCAACAACAACCTGGATTGACAGCCAGTAATCCCCCTGCAGCCCCATTAACAAGACCAAAGACGCAAACATCTCAAGGTAAACCTGCCCAGACTGTGCCTCTTACAGGAGTGGGGCTCTAGGAGCCAGGTTAGCATTATGCTTGGCCACAGCTGATGGACTGGGAGGATATCTAACTCTGGCAGAGATAATCACATTTTCTCTCCTAGGAATCTGGGATTGAGACTCGTCACCCTTCACTTCTGTGTTGTCACTTTAAGGAAGAACACACACCATCAGGCACTGTAGCCTAGCTATTTGCAAGGGGAAGTAGAACAAGCAAAGCTGCTTGGTGAAAACAAAACAGAGGCAAAGAGTGGCAGGAAAACTAGAGACAATCTGGGCCCAAAGAGTCCTGCAGAGCACAGCTGCTTGGGAGCCTGACAGTATCCCAGTTCTTTGTTCCTGTCTGTCATAAGGCCCAGCTGTGCTTCTTATCCTTGAGCTTCATGAGACTCCTTTGATCCCTTACCTTAAACCCCCTTTAGTTCTAAATATTTTGAAGAGAGTTCCTATTTTCTGCAGCCAAGAACATTTTGAAGCCAGAGAGGGGCTCATGCCTGTAATCCCAGCACTTTGGGAGACCAAGGCAGGAGGATCACTTGAGTTCAGGAGTTCGTGACCAGCCTGGGAAACAGGGTGAGAACTAATCTCTACAAAAAATGAGCTGGGCATGATGGCATGCACCTATAGTCCCAGCTACATGAGAGGTGGAGGTAGGAGTATTGCTTAAGCCCTGGAGTTCGAGGCTGTAGTGAGCTGTGTTTGTACTATTATACTCCAGCGTGAGTGACAGTGAGACCCTCTCTCAAAAAAAAAAAGCCTTGATGAAGTCAGCCCCACAGGATTGCTGAGATCCTGGGAGAGCCACCCAAGAATGGGCAGAGGGAGGGGATACAATTCTGCCTATTTAGGCCAATTTTCCAGCTCTTCTCACCATTGCTTTTGCTTTCCTAAAGCACATCTTAGCAACATATCTCAAGTTCAACTTCTAAAATTTGATCATGTACCATCAAGGTTGGTCCAGTACAACTGTTTATGGGCAGCAGCACTCCTCCCTCCCTAGGTACCTGAGGTTTCTCTTCTTCCTCCTCCTTCTGAGTCTGTGTCCTCTCATGTCGGTGCCGTCGGCGGTAATAGTGAGCGTCATCTGTCACATTTGAAAACATATGAATATTTCCTGGAAAAGAAAGAGAAAGAAATACTTAGTATGGGATATGGCGAACACTCCTTCCTTGCCTTTTTCCTTTTTTTTGGAGACGGAGTTTCGCTCTGTTACCCAGGCTGGAGTGCAATGGCATGATCTCAGCTCACTGCAACCTCTGCTTCCTGGGTTCAAGCGATTCTCCTACCTCAGCCTCCTCAGTATTTGGGGTTACAGGCACCCGCCACCACGCCTGGCTAACTTTTGTATTTTTAGTAGAGATGGGGTTTCATCACATTGCAGGTTGGTCTTGAACTCCTGAACTCAAGTGATCCACCCACCTTGGCCTCCCAAAGTGCGTGAGCCACCGCACCCAATCCTTCCTTGTCTTTTTCAAGGTCCTTGTTCCCAGCTAGGTTTGTTAAGGATAGAGTATTGGCCTATTTTACCCAGTAGAAAAATAAGACAGTAGGCAAGCCAAGTGAACCAGCTGGAGCTAAAGTGTGCTGAGCTCTCCTGACTTCATTTAAATAGTCCTTTGCAACTAGTGAGAGAGAACCCCCAAAAGGCTAGAAGAGAGAGAGCATTTGGGCCATGAATCCTATTTGGCATGTTCACGTCTGCTTCCGTGCCCAATACCATATTGTGTCACTGGTATCTTTTAATAGCAACTCATAAAATTCAATTTACTTCCTGGGCATTGAATTATACCAACTTCCAACTTGCTGGGGGTACTTTCCTATCTTTTATCTTTGTAAGTGCTATTTTATAATAATAATAATAGGCATTTTGTTACTTATTTAAAAGGCACTTAAAAATATCTAATCCTCACAGTGACCCTGTGAAGTAGGTATTATTAACAGCCCCATTTTTCAGGAGAGGAAACAGGGTCAGAGAAACTAAATGATCTGGTCAAAATTATGCACAGCTGGAGGCTGGAGACTTGCCTCAAACTCCTGCTCAACTGATTCCAAATCCTTGCTGTTTCCATCATTCCATTGTCCCTCTATTCAGATTTTCAAACAGGAGTTTGCTGAGAGCCATAAATAAAGAAATATGTTTAAGAATGATAATTTGGGGAGACTAACCTGTAGGAAAATGTCCTCCAAAGAAGACGTTGAATAGTTCTTCTGGAGTGATGTCAGCTTCAAAATCCCTGTAATAATTATAAGGTCTGGCTCGAGGGGCAGTGAAAGTCACCTGTTCATCTCCGTATTCATCATAGCGAAGTCTCTTATCAGGATTGCTCAGGACTGCAAATGCATTTCCTATTGCTGCAATCAACAAGAAGCAGCACATGAGGACACAGTCTTTGCTACGGCTGAGAGTGATCACAGCAGCAGTGATGAAGAGCCTAGAGGTGACTCGTGCTGGACAACTTCTCAGGGGCCCAAGGAGAGGTGCTTGGGCCTAGAAAGTTCTTCAAAGTGCTTGCCCTTCAGGTTTTCCCTAATCGCCAGAAACAACAACATTGGAATCACAGGAATTAAGAACTACTGCTGAAGTGAGTTAACTCCCAATCAACAGTCCTGGAGTCATCCCAGCTGTCCTAGAAGTTAGGAATCCCCCCTCAGTTTGGGTTCCCAGTCACCACAAGTCCCAGGAATGTTGGGGAAATGTTCTCCAACTGGTCAGCACTCTCATTCATAAAAAATGTGTTCTGGCCAGGCACAGTGGCTCATGCCTGTAATCCCAGCACTTTGGGAGCTTGCAGTGAGCCAAGATCATGCCACTGCACTCCAGGCTGGGCAACAGAGTGAGACTTCGTCACACACACACACACACACACACACACACACACACACACGAAGAGTGTTCTTTACTTTAAAACAATTTTTTTTAGAGATGGGATCTTGTTACATTGCCGAGACTAGTCTCAGATTCCTGGCCTCAAGTGATCCTCCCACCTTGGCCTCCAAAAGTTTGGGATTATAGGTGTGAGCCACTGCATCTAGCCAAAACAGTGTACTTATTTCACTTGAGTGCAATGGTTTATGTTGGAAACAGTTCACACATCCATAGTGACATTCTAACTTGTAGTCAGAAGAATTTCCTGAATTCTACTCTGAAACAATCTTAATAAAAACCTTCCTGCCTGACTAAAAACAGTCTTCATCATAGTCTTATTTCAGTTAACTTTAGATAATTATTTTCTGAAATTAAGAAATGTATTTCCAATGTCTCAAGGAGGTTTCAAAGGCTGAATAATTACGTATGTTTACCAACATGTCTCCTTTCTATGTGCAAATGTGTGAACCTTGACCAATTTCATTTAAACATACAATCAGTAGCACCAATCAATACAAACCTCGAAAAAAAGCCTTTTAAGGCATCCCCCACTCTCTACCTGTAATTTAGTCAACACTGTCAGAAACACAGTCAGAAAGAGTATTTCTTCATGATTCTTTTACCTGGGAAATTGTTAAATGTTTGCCTTGCCACTCTGTTACCCACAACTCTATATATACATATGTACATATATATTGTAATAAGTATACATTTATTTTGCTGAACCATTTGAAAGTAGGCCACAGATATTATGTCACCTTCCCCTAAATACCTCAACATATATCTCCCAAGGAGAAAGACATTCTCCTATGTGATCACAACACCATTATCACAGCTAAGGAAATTAACATCAGTCCATTATCATCCAATGCATCCATGCAAGATCAAGTACTGCATTTAGTTTCTTTTAATCTAAAACTGTCCCCACCTTTTTTGTTTTTCATTATGTTAAATTTCTTGGAAGAACAGGTCAGTATTCTTGTAGAATGTTTCATATTCTGATTGTTTCCTCATTATTAGATTCAGGTCAAACATTTTGGCAAGAATACCCCATAGGTGACAACAACCTAGCACTCAATGGCTTTAGAATTCACTGATGATCTCTGCCTGAAACAGTGACTTGGAGTGCAGTGGTGTAATCACAGCTCACTGCAGCCTTGACCTCTGGCTCAAGCAATCCTCCCACCTCAGCCTCCCAAGAAGCTGGGACTACAGGCACATGCTACCATGCCCGGCTAATTTTTTTTATTTTTATTTTTAGTAGAGATGAGGTCTCACTATGTTGTGTGGGCTGGTCTCAAACTCCTGAGCTCAAGCAATCCTCCTATCTCAGCCTCCCAAAATGCTGGGGTTTACAGGTGTGAGCCACCATGCCTGGCCAGGTGAAGCTCTTAAGATTTGTATTCATGTGTTGGGTCCAAAATATTTTTAAAGAATGTATTTCTTTTTTTTTTTGAGATGGAGTCTCGCTCCTGTCGCACAGGCTGGAGTACAGTGACGTGATCTTGGCTCACTGCAACCTCTACCTCCCGGGTTCAAGCAATTCTCCTTCCTCAGCTTCCCAAGTAGCTGGGATTACGGGCGTGCACCACTAGGCCTGGGTAATTTTTGTATTTTTAGTAGAGAGGGGGTTTCACCATGTTGACCAGGCTGGTCTCAAACTCCTGACCTCAGGTGATCCACCCACCTCGGCCTCCCAAAATGCTAGGATTACAGGTGTGAGCCACTGCACTCAGCCTAAAGAATATATTTCTTAAAATATCATGGAGGACGGGCACAGTGGCTCACGCCTGTAATTTCAGCACCTTGGAAGGCCTAGGCAGACAGACTACTTGAGCTCAGGAGTTTGAGATCAGCCAGAGCAACATGGCAAAACCTCGTCTCCACAAAAGATACAAAAATTAGCCAGGCATGGTGATGCTCACCCGTAGTCCCAGCTCCTTGGGAGGCTGAGGTGGGAGGATCACTCGAGCCTGGGAGGTGGAGGTTGCAGTGAGCTGAGATGTCACCACTGCACTCCAGCCTAGGTAAAATCAAGGGAGCTATGCTGATGATCACTATTTAAGAGGTGTGGCAGGGGGAAAAACCCTCCTTATGGCCTTATGAAACAACTATGGGGAAGGCTAAAAGCAACTTATTATGACCAATCATGACAAGGGCACCATTGAGCATTGGTTCAGGATCAGACCTTTGAAAGCATCTGTTGCTCCAGGAGCACAGTTCTTGTCAGGGTGAAATTTGAGGGCGAGTTTTCTGTAAGCTTTCTTAAGCTCTTCATCACTGGCATCTCGAGAAACTCCCAGAATTTCATAGTAATTTCTGCATTTCTTGATCCTAAAAAAATCAGAAACATGTATGTCTACAAAGGCCCCTTTTGTACAACTAACTGCAAGATAATACATTGATCCTCCCTCTAATCTGTGGGACCCAAAACAAACCTAGAAGAAAATTAGTGCACACGTTAATGAAACATTCAAATTCATTAACAATGTCCTTCTCCCACCCAGAACTTAATGCCTTTCAAAGTACTTTTACATCTACTATTTATTCTTCCTATATCCCTGCAAGGGAGTAGAACGAGTGTGCCAATCCTTACACCAAGGTTCAGGCTAAGATCCTGAGAGATGAACCACAGGACAGCAAAGCCGGAAGAAACAGTTAATCACTCTGTTTGTTTATAATTTTTTCTCTCTTTTTCCTATGGCTATTTTTTAAACTGTGTTTTTTGTTTTGTTTTGTTTTTGAGACGGAGTCTTGCTCTTGTTGCCTAGGCTGGAGTGCAGTGGCGCAATCTTGGCTCACTGCAACCTCTGCCTCCTGGGTTCAAGCAATTCTCCTGCCTCTGCCTCCCGAGTAGCTGAGATTACAGGGATGCGCCACCAGGCCTGGCTAATTTTTGTATTTTTAGTAGGGATGGGGTTTCACCATGTTGGTTAGGCTGGTCTCAAACTCCTGACCTTGTGATCTGCCCACCTTGGCCTCCCAAAGTGCTGGGATTACAGGTGTTAGCCACCGTGCCCAGCTAAACTGTGTTTTAAGAAAGTTAACATACACATGATAGAAGAAAAAGAGCCAACAGAACTAAAGTTTATACAGTAAAAATTCTCCTGCTTCATTATTTCCTGTCCCCCAGTATCCCACCACAGGGACAACCATCATTAGAAGTTTTGTATGGATCCTATGTACAGAGAGTACAGGTATAGTCCTCTCCATTTTTGTTCTTACCTAAATGGAAACATATTATAATCACTTTTCTACATCTTGCTTAAAAAAAAATTTATTTTGGGCTGGGCGTGGTGGCTCAAACTTGTAATCCCAGTGCTTTGGGAGGCTGAGGCAGGAGGACTGCTTGAGGCCAAGAGCTTAAGGCCAGCCTGGACAGGATGGTAAGACCCTATCTCTATGAAAAATTTTAAAAAGTTAGCCAGGCATGGTGCCTTGTATCTGGAATTCTAGCTACTCAGGAGGCCAAAGCAGGTGGATCACTTAAGCCCATGAGTTTGAGGCTGCAGTGAGCTATGATTGTTCCACTACACTCTAGTCTGGGCAACAGAGCATGACCCTGTCTCTAAAAAACAAACAAACAAACAAACAAACAAAAAAGGATTGGAGATCAATCCTTAACAGATAAAGATGAGAAGTATAGAATAATAGTTTAGACTAGACAGTAGTTTAGAGTGGCAGTTCTGAACTTTTGATCTCAGCAACGTTTTATAATGCATGGTACAGGAAGAGAAAAAAAAATTACTGAAGACCTCAAAAGAGCTTTCATTTATGTGACTTCTATCAATCCACATCTACTATACCAGAAATGAAAACAAAAAATTTTTAAACAGTGATGATGTAATTACATGTCATGTAGCCTCTCAAAAACTCCACTGTATAATCATGAGAAAATTAGTGAAAAAGACAAGTAACATGTTTGTATCATTATGACTACAGTTTTAAACTTGCAGACCTATCCCCTAAAAGGGTCTTGGGGTTCCCCAACCACCCTTTGAGAACTGCTGGATTAGAGATGAACTCTGGAGTCAAAATCCCTTGGTTGAGCTTTGATTTTGCTGTGTACTTAACCTCTATAGCTTGGTGTTATCTTCTGAAATGGGCTAATAATTATATTTCACAGAGTTGATATTATGATTAAATAAAGTCTTCATGAAAGTGCTTGAGAGCATCTAATACTAAATAAATATTACCTAGTATTATATATCTACCTCTTTTTTTTTTTTTTTTTTTGAGACAGAGCCCAGGCTGGAGTGCAGTGGTACAATCTCGGCACACTGAACTTCTGCCTTCTGGGTTCAAGTGATTCTCCTGCCTCAGCCTCCTGAGTAGCTGGGACTACAGGCTTGCACCATCACACCCAGCTAGTTTTTGTAATTTTAGTAGAGACAGGGTTTCACTATATTGGCCAGGCTGGTCTCGAACTCTTGACCTCAAGTGATCTACCTGTCTTGGCCTCCCAAAGTGCTGGGATTACAGGCATGAGCTACCACGCCTGGCCTATCTCATTCTTTTTAAAATCTAAATATTATTGCATTGTATCAATGTATAATATATACATCACCTACTAATTTGTATTGAGAAGGGCTTCAGTCTTTTGCTACCATATGATTCAGTAAGGCAGGCAGAGATTCAGAGTTTTGTTGGGAAATTCATCATAAGTCAGTAACACAGGTTGTACTCTAATGCAGGGTCTGGGCTGTCAGCAGGTCCCTTCCACATGAGCTGCCCATGGGGAGTCTTTGAATCCCTAGCCCAGTTTCCAATCTCTGCTTCCATGGCAGACACTCAGGACTCCCTCTCCTAAATTTACTATTTGTTTAATAATGCTTTATTGAGAAATAATCCACATACCATAAAGTTCACCCTTTAAAAATGTACAATTCATTAGTTTTTAAATACATTTATAAAGGTGTGCATCTATCACCACTATCTCATTTCAGGACATTTTTATCACCCCAAAAAGAAACTCTATACTCATTAGGAGTCATTCCCACTTCTCCTCCCCAGCCCCTGGGACCCACTAATCTACTTTCCCTCTCTATAGATTTGCTTATTCTGAATATTTTATATAAAAGGAGTTATGTAACATGTAGCCTTTTGTGTCTGGCTTCTTTCACTTACTGTAATTTTTTCAAGGTTCATTCATGTTGTAGCATGAATCTGTTCACTCCTTTTTGTTACAAAATAATATTTCATTGTATGGATATACCCCATGTTGTTTGTCCATTATCAGTTAATGGACATTGGGTTGTTTCCCCTTTGGGGTCGTTGTGAATAATATTGCTATGGACATTCATGTACAAATTTTTTTGTGGAAGTATATTTATATTTCTCTTGGTATATACTAGGAGTAGATTGTTGGTCAATAATCTTAACTTTCTTCTGAACTTTAAGAGGAATTGCCATATTGTTTTCCAAACTGGCTGCATTCCTACCAGCAATGTACAAAGGTTCCAATTTATCTGCTTCTTTTTTTTTTTTTTTTTT